CTATGAGGCAATGAGAACTGGGTAAAAGAACTTCTGGTTTCTGGATCAAGTGTAAACCTTTCTGCAAAGCAATGGCTTATCTTTTGTTTAGCCAAAATAAATTTTCTTGTAGCCTCAGACCCTACACCCATGCCAACAGCCTTGGGCTTTGACTTCAGCTGAACAAAAGGTGGCCTGTGAATACCATTAGCTGAACAAAATACCAGCAACAAAAGAGTAGTAATTTTGGAGTATAAAAAAGAGAACACCCTGCAGTCAGGAGGAGGGGAGCACAAGAAAGTTTGCCAGCAGAGGGGAAGGTGGCCAACATGTCTCTAACTAGCAGCACAGCCAAGTACCTGAGGCCCACGAATGGGAAGCTGAGGCACTGAGATGAGCAGGCACACACAGGAGTTTGGTCTCAGTGTGCTGGGAAGGCACCCAGTCCCTGCCAGCTGCCCCTCTCCATTTCAGAGGGCTGGACATCCCCTTCCTCACCACCAGCAGCCTTTTGGAGGGGTGCTGCTATGCACATGCATCACTACAGGGCCAGCTGGGGAGGGGTACTGCTGCTAGGTGGGTTCTGGTGACCTCATGGGCTCGCCATGGGTGGGTGTGACCGTGCCACCAGTTCCCTGGCTGCAAGGTGGGGAGCTCCAAAGCACACAGTGACACACCTGCTGCTGTGTAAAGCTGCCTGGTTTGCCCCTCAGCTGAGGACATATGGGCCCCCTTCTCACCCACCACCAACCTTGACACTATTTGGGCTTCACTATGTCACTCTGCTGTTCCACATTCCCAACTGAATTTTCCTCCTCTCTTAGACAGTGTAAAAATAAAGGCTACAATACTCCCACCAAAACCAAGGGGGTTCAGACAATAAACAGCCCTGTAAACACTTTTGAATGCTTATCTATACTCTTCAGGATGGAGTGTGAATGCTACTTTTAGGTTACCTTCCTTTGACTTTCTGCATAATGCCATTAAGCATTAGTCTGGTTAGCATAAAGATTAGCAGTGTATTAAAGAAATGATCCAGTCCTGAGGGCACTGTAGTAAAATAAGCAGCTTAAATTTTGTTAATAGACACATCAGGCTTACAGAACAACTTCACGCCACTCTGCACTGTTTTTCCAGATACCCCAGCAGGGCCATGTCCTTTAAACTAGCCATCCTCACCTTGTTCCTGGGCTCAGGAGTATCCATTTCTCTTGCTTCTATATGGCCCGTGTGTGAACCCTGGCAGCCTTCAAACAACAACAGATTTACCCCAACCAGAACAAGAAACTCCAGCTGCCATCACCCATTCCACAGCATGGCCCACGTGCCTGTGGCCTTTGGTCCTTTTTACGTTCCTCAGCTTGGACTGCATCACTTCCCTTACCCCTGGAGACCTGCTTGCCACATAGGGGTTGCTAAAGATCATTGCCCAGAGCTTGATTTAGCCACTGCCATGATGAGCAAGACTTGAGCAAATCTATTGAAATGAGGAGAACCAGTGTCAGAAGGGAATTCTGACAGCACTGCTGGAGCAGCACTCTCCAGGTGAGAGCACTCTGAGGAACATGTCCCATCAGCAGAGCTCTGTTTATCTCTGCCTGGGCCAGCTGGTCCTGCCTGGAGCTCTTCAGCTGCATTTGCCACTTGCTTCTCCCTGGAGTGATATTCAGTGTGTTGGATTTGAAGTTGGTCTGCCAGCACCACAGGGAGCAAGCTCACCTCACTCTGCCCCAGATTCAGACAATTTAGTCAACTTCAGACCAGAGTTCCTGCACAGCTGGGCCTCTCAGTTTCATACATTGTGTGCACCCCCAGGCTTCAGGACAGCACCTGCCTGCATGTCCTCACACACGGGGCAGATGTGGCCACTTGCCACGGTTAACTCTGCACAGAGTGCAGCCAGCAGGTCTCCTGTAATCATGTTGGACATTTTGAGAGAGAAAAGCTTTATCCTGCTAACAGTGGCACAGGCCAAGGGTTGCTTTTAAATGACAGGTAGGACTCACTTCAGCCATTCATCAGCCAAAGGTCACCTGCTCACTGACAGCACAGCAGAGCCGTCGGTGTTCCTGTACCTGCGCAGCCCAGTGCTGCTGCTGCAAGGGTGACACAGCTTCTGCAGCTGAAACCTTGGCACAGCCTTTGACAGAAATCACCCAAGGGCTCACAATTTAAACTTCAGGTTTCAGGAAGGCTTGGCTCTGCTTTGAACTGATGAAGCTGAAGATGTTCAACAGCACCTCAGCAAGTCCAGCAATACCCTTGGCCGTGCTGCTGCCTCCCCCCACAGAATGCTCTGTCCTGCTTTGTGCTGCCCTCAGCAGCCAGAGCTCTGATCTGGCACAAAAGATTGGTGAGCAGCATGGCCATAGGTCAGCGTTATTTTAGACTAAATCTCCAATTCCCCTGTCACCTCCCCTTCCTGCAGAGGAAAGTTTCTGACCTGAAATTGTTCTTTTCACATGGGTCCTGCTGTAATGCCCCACCTCAAAGGAGGCAGAAGCAAATGCTCTGCAGCAGCAGCTGTCAGTGGCCAGCAAAACCTATCCAGGGACTAACTCAACCCAGGAGGAGGAATACTCCTGTCCCAGCCAGGTAACCTGGCTGCTCCTTTGAGACAGCTGGCAAAACAGGCCTGCCCAAGCCCTCCCTCCTCGTCACAACTGCTGTCATTACAGCCACCACTAAGAGGCTTTGATTTCCTGGGCAAGTGTTGCCACCTTCCCAGACATCTCTCTGCTTGCATCATGGAGGTAACTCAAGAAGGGATTTACTGGGATCTACACAGGCTCTTTCTCAAGCTTCACTGCCAGGCAGAGCTACACCCATGCTGTGCCAAGGAGACACTCAGAAATGAGGCAGTTTTTAAAGCCTGTGAAGATTTAACTCGTAGAAAAAGCAAGAGGAAGGGCAGCACTTAACTCCAGCAAAAACACCCAAAATCCAAGAGGAGATAAGGATGGCCAGGCCAATCAGGGCCATCCTCTGACACTGTAACTCCCTATCAAAGGCAACCAGAAGCCCAGAGAAAAGATTTTTTAATAAATCTCGCCGAAGTTAGCAGACATAAGACAACAAGGAAAGCATCTCCAAAAAACCTCACGGCTTTTGCCAGAGATTGCCCATCCAAAAAACTCCTGTTGCCACCTCTTCGTGCCTCTGAATCTCTGAAGAAAGGGTTGGGGTGGGAGATTTTGCTCCTGTGCTAGAGCAGAGGCCCAAAGCCAACCCTGCCCTGCATGCAAAGGCCACCTGCCCCTCCGCAGCCATAAACACACACCCAGGCACAGGGAGTCACCTGGCACTGAGGGATCCTGCTGAGGTGGCACCGTGGGGATCCTGGCACACTCCTGCCACAGTGCACAGCTCTGCCTGGAGAGCTCACCTGCCACCTGAGCTCTGAGACTTCCAGCAGGCATTCCTGTCATGGCACAATTCTGATTCCTGGCAGGATCCTGACTCAGTGCTCAAGCATTATTCTGCCAGGTAATGGCACGGCACAGAAAGAGGCATTTCCCTCCTCACACACAAGCTTTCCTGCCCTCCAGGGACTGCCAGCTCCCCCTCTGTTCATCCACCTCTCCACCTGCCCTGCCTCTAAGGAGTAAGGACGTCTGACCTGTGTCAGATTTCCTTATTTCACAGCCGTGCTGCCTTGCAGGAGTACTACTGGAGAATGCCAAAAGTGCTTTTAAGATGAGAGCTCCCAAAGAGTTAAGGAAATTAATTAAACAAACCCAACAAATCCAGCAACAATAAGGCTGAATTTACTGGCTAAGAAAAAGAAATCTGTCGGGTATTAGGACAACAATAATAGAAATATTCAGAGATGCTCAATGTGCTTGTGAAGCATGAAAGCTGAGCTCTCACAGGGCACAGAGAGGACAGTCCTGGGCAGCAGGAGCTCACAGAGGCACTGCCACACTGGCTGTGCAAAGACAGACCTCTACAAAGACACAGGCTGCCCAGAAGATGCAGTGAAGGCATATCAGAGTGCAAACACACAAAAAGGCAGGGAGGGAACAGCACCTGCACTGTCTGCAGCAAAGGCACAGCCGCGAACCTGGACGAAAACCAAGGGCCAGCCACCCGTGCCAAGCACCGACAGCTCACACACTGTCCCTCTGCAGCAGGGCTGACAGGCAGCCCCGTTTCTAACAAACGCTCAGCCCGACTCAAAGAGCCCCGGGCGGCTCCCGGGGCAGCGGAGCCGCGATCCCCGCGGCGCTGCCGGTACTCACTGGAAAGCCATGGCTCCCGCCTCCAGCGTGCATCTCGTCGGGGACTGCTCGTTCAGCTTGCGGAAGAGCTGCTTCGCCTGGCTCTGGTACTGCTGCAGGTCGCGGCCTGACTGAGGAGGCACGGAGGGAGGAGAGCGGGCTGCTGGGCCGGTACCGGAGACACACCGGCGGGGCTCCGGGGCTGCCGGGACCGGCCCGACAGCACCGGCGGGCTCTGCCCGTCCCGCCCGCCACCACCGGGAGGCAAGCGCCGCTGCCAGAGCCGCCTTCCTGTGAGAAGGGACTGCGCGGCTCCCGGTAGATCGCCCCCCGCCCGCTCCTCACGGACGCACCGGCCCCTCCCCGCCCGCGCCCCGCCGGCCCCACCTGCTCGTCTTCTTGCATGGAGGCGGCGAGGGGGAGCCCGTCCGCCACGCGGGCGATCATCGTCAGCAACACCATGGTCGCGCCCGCCGCCCGCCCTGCCACGGAGCCGCCCGGAAACTGCCACCGCCGCTTCCGGTGCGCGGCCGCCGCGCCGCCGGCACTTCCGCCCGCCCGTGGGCAGCGCTGCCGCCCCGCGCGCCTGCGCCAATGTGAGGCCACGCCCCCGACGCGGCCACGCCCTCTTCGGGCGCCCCCCTTGGAGCAGACGCGGCCTCTCGCGCGGCCACGCCCACCAAGCTCTGTACGACCACGCCCCCTCAGCAGCACCGCCCCGTTCAAGTCGCGCCAAATAAGCCCCGCCCATCGCTCCTCCCCCCGCGCGGCCCCGCCCCGTGACGCGCCCCCCGCGGGCGGGGCGGGGCGGTGGCGGCCCGGCGCGGGGGGCGCGCGCCAGGGCGGCGGGCACAGCCATGGCGGCGGCGGCCGAGCGGAGCCGCCTCAGCTTCCCCGGCGGCACCGGGGCCCTGGGGCGGCCCGTGCCTATGAACCTCTTCGCCACCTGGGAGATCGACGGCTCCAGCCCCAGCTGCGTGCCCAGGTAACGGGCGGGCGAGGGCGCGGACCGCACCCCCTTTCCTCCCCAGCTTCGCGGCTGCTTCCTCGAGCCCCGTTCCCATCACCTGTGCGATCCTCCCCGCAGTCGCAGGGCTCCTTCCCACCGCTGCCGCAGTGACGGGCACGGCTCCTCCCGTCCCTTCCGCGGCGTTTGGGATGGTGGCGGTGCGGGACCCCCGGCCCTGCGGAGGGCGGGGGGCTGCTGCCGTGTGTCAGGCGTGTGCGGGGTCACCTTCGCGGTGCGGGTGCCCCGCAGCCCCCGCGGGCTGGCTGCTCCGGCACGCTGTGCCGCTCCCCCGGCCCCGCCATCCCCGCGTTAACGGCGCTTTGCCCGGGCAGTGCCCCGCAGGGATGGGCTCGGGGTGCGCATCCCTTTCTCCAGTGATGGTTCTTCGCCCTCTGCCCGTCTCCCTCTGTTTCCCGGCCTCTGCTGTGTGTAAACACGCGGCCGTGCTCCCTGCCGCCGCTGGTTTTAGCCCGCATCCAGGCATTCCTCTTAGCTTTTATAAATGTTGCGCTCTTCAAGCCTAGCTCAGAACAGAATGCCTCTGAGGATTTAAACGTGCCGGAGACAAATCTTTGAAGCGCTTCTCTTTATCTTTGTTTGTTTGTTTTGTTTTAAACAAGGGCATAGCGAGCGAGCAGAAAGGAAACAGAGTCATCAGGCTGACCTGGCAGGAACGTAAAGCTCTGCAAGCTTTACAAACCCCCCAAATCCCTCTGTCTTCTGCGCCATCCATATAGCAGGTTGGACTTGGTGGCCATGCCCCTGTATTGCAGGAGTAACTATCATAAACACTGTAGTGATCTGACATCGTGGGCAGGAAGATAGAGGGGTAAAAGCAAACCTGAGGCGTGCTATTCCAGGTAATCTGGGTTTATAGCAGTTTGTCTGTGCTAGCAGCGCCTCGGGAAGCAACTTTCTCAGCTTGTGTCTCGTTCAGCCTTTCTTTTCTGCAACGGGAGGTCTTGGAGAGGCTCTGGCACCCGCGGAAATGTGCCCTCTTCAAGGAGTCCCTTTGCTGTGGAAGTTGTCGCCTGGATGGGAATAGCTGGAGGAGCAGTTGGTGCTTTGTCATTTTTGCACTGGACAAGAAAGTGTCCCTGCTCCTGGCAGGGGGTTGGACTTAAATGATCTTTAAAAGCTCCCTTCCCACCCAAAGCATTCTGTGGTTCCAGTGCGATTGGCACTGTCCCTGCTGTGTGGAGGACATGGGGGCTCTGACAACAATTCTCTTCACTACACCCTTTGCTACAGGAAGGCAGTTGAGAACTGGCACTGTCCCTGCTGTGTGGAGGACGGGGGCTCTGACAACAATTCTCTTCACTGCACCCTTTGCTACAGGAAGGCAGTTGGGTTTCCATGCCATCCAACCTTGTAACAGTGGCTGTTAAACAAATAAAAGCCCAAATGTCCGACTGTCAAGGACTTTTCATTCTGCATTATCATTTATGCTGATACTTGCAGATCTGCAAACGAGCTCACAACATAGCCTGCTTGTTTGCAAATCTGTAGATGACCAGAAAATGCACTGTAAGGACACTGACCCTGCCTTGGTGTGGCAGGGGGTGGGGAGCACAAGGGTGGGTGCTGGAATTGTGGGGGACAACAGATTGGAGGCAGCTGGCTGAGGTGCCTGGAGGAATGTGGGGAATGCAAAGCACATGTGGATATCTGGGCAGGTGGGGCAGAACTGGGGTTTGAGGGGGAAAGTCTGGAATTGCTGAAGCAAGCTGTGAAGCAGGGGATGATGAAAGTGCTCAGATTGCCTGCCCTGAGGCAGTGATGGAAGAATTGGGGCATTGGGACCTTGTAGGAGCAAAGGTTTTGTTTGAGGGACTTTGGTGTGGTGGTTGGTCCCTCTGCTCTGGCCCTGCTGTTGCCCTTACCTTTGCTTGCTCTTCCTGGGTGCCCTTTTTCCCTCGAGCCAGGGGGATGAGCTCCATCCAGCTTCTGCATCTGCTGCTGCCAACCCTATGAACCAGTCTTTCCACAGATGGGGAGTTTTCTGCTGGACACAGAGTGCACCCACGGGCTGGGCTCAGGCTGCAGCTGTGGGTGCTGGGTGGGTTTGTTAATCCAAAGCGAGGTCAGGAGCAGCTGAGGTTGCAGGTTCTGCAGGGATCTTGGCCCTGTGGCACGGTGAGGTGTGTGCTGGGCAAACACCAAGTTCTGCAGCAGTCAGTGCTGCTGTTTCTTATCCCTGATCATCATGCTTTGCATTTCATTACGGGCTTTGCAACAGACCTTTCTGTTTGAAAGGAGTTTGAAAACCTTTAAGTTATGCCACTGTCTCTGCCTTTTAAATTTATATGGTGATGAATTTTATTATGGCACAATGACATTTAAGATTCTTTAATCTTAAAGCAAGAGGTATTAGAATGTAGTCTTCTGTGTGGGAAACCATATCCCGAGAGAGCTTGTTGTCCCAGCAAACGTCTGTTGGGACGTGAGAGGCGGATGTGGAGGAGAGTGGGCCTTGCTGTGTGGTCAGACACTGTGGAACTGCCTTCTGAGATATTCACCAGTTCCCTGCTGGGTCTCTGTTGGCAGGACAGGCTTTCCAAGTGGAGAAGAGATTTGAACTTGGCACAAAGTCAGAAGATTCACGAAGAGGAGCGCATGCTTGGGGAGGGAACGTTGCTTCCTTCCCTTTTCCTTTTGGTTCAGTAAATCTTAGCCCGTTTCTAAGGTGTTTCTCCTACTGTGGCCTGGAGCAGGAGGGGCTGGGTGGAAGCAGTGCCTGGAGTGGTCTGCGCCTGCACTGCTCTAGGTTGTGTGCGTGGGTGCTTGGTGGGTGTGTGTGTGCTTCAGCACGTTCTGGTGGGTGATTTACTGGAAGTCCACTCAGCTTGGGTGCGGTGTCAGCAAAATCTGGAAGGCTGCCTTGGTGCATCCATGGAGTTTCCTTGTGTGAGAGGGCTGTGCCTAAACTTAAGGAAGAATAGTAGGGAAGAGTCGTGGTGTGTGCAGCTGTTGCTTACTGTGAAAGATGAGGTGAGGTGGTGTTTTGCATTTGTTCTGGTTTTTCTTACTCCTCTGCCATCTGCAGAAGTGATTTTATGACTTATTCTTCAGCACACGTAGCTCCTGGGAGGTTTGACCATAGCATTTCTGAAATGCAGCTACTTTCTTTTAGTCATCCCAGAAATGTGACTCAAAATGTCTCACTATCTGGGCGTATCCACTGCATACCAGAAGGGAGAGATGCCACCTTCTCTTGCTGTTTCTTTCTTCTGTGCACTGAAAGATTTCCCTTTGAGGAAGGCTACATTATATAAAGTTCTCCCTACCACCTGTAAACGCTGAGAGTGATCTTCTTGCTGCATGGCAGCAAGATAATCAACACTTTTTCCTCACACTGAGAGAGTGGAAGTAAGAATTGTCCTGTGGGTTTTGGTGTTGGTTTCTTTACCTTCCAATCTTTTGATGAATATGTGGGTGTGAATGGCAGGATGCAGTACTGTCCCATGTTGAAGTAGTCTCATGAGGAGATGGCACCATGGGAAGGTTGTCCAGAGGAAGAGAGGTCTTTGGGGGAAAGGTCTGTTGGAAGGATTTGCTGAAGCAAGGCAAGGCAGCAATATTCCCATTTGGAGTGGGTTTTGTTTCAGGCTACTGCCTTAGCTGTCACAAACTTGTAAAAGTTGCTGCTAAGCTTTGAACTGTAAAGTGGATTGAGAGCAAGCTGGATGTGGAGCAGGTGTGAGTCCCAGGGGATAGAAGGAAGAAGTCTGTGGGACAGACCAGCGCAAGGGCGCTGCTGGAGGGCCGCTTTGCTGACGGGGCGCTGCCTGAGCATTTCCGCGCTGCCTCACCTCTGTAGCTTGCCTGCTGGGTGAGGAAATGCAGAGGGGTTCCACACACGTCCCCTGGGCCCACAGGAGGCTGGGTGTGTAGGGATGTGACTGCTCAGTGCTGTGCCATGGCCGTGTAGCCCTCGGACATTCACAGCGGCTACGGACATCCCCGGGGCAATGGAAAGCGGTGGGGTGAGATTTTGGATTCAGGCTGCTGAGTGGATCCTGACGGTGTGCTCGTGCCCCAGGCTGTGAGCTCCTCTCTCTGCCAGCTCCCATCTTCTTCCACTGGCCTCCTGTGGGCTAATGAGTTACAGAGGGCTCTGTGAGCATGGAAAGGTGACAGCGCTGCAGATGTGTGACAGGAGGGACGCAGTGAGGACTGCTGGGGCATGGAGCCACTCCAGCAATCTGCAGGTTTGCACCCATACTTAGTAATTTTCTTTGCTAGCAGAGTGTTGAGAGGCTTGTGACCTGTGTGAAGCCCACAAATCCTCCCTATGAGGATTTGCTGCAAATTCACTCAGAAGTGGAACACTTTGCCCTTTGGTGTGAAGGATGCATGTCTGCACTGGGAATGGGAACTTCTCCTGGCCAGTGAGAGCATGTTCTGACCTGGCTTGAGCAATGCCAGCTGTGCATCATATCATCAGAGAAAGGTGAACAACTTGCTAGAGTAATAATTATGATCAGGTGATGCTATGCAATTAAAAACACTTATTAATCCAGCTAGGGAGAGACATTAATGTAAGTGTATCTTAAACCTTCTATTCTGTCGGTATGCTAACACTTAGGAGAGAACTCTTCCTGGTTAGGATAACTGCTGGCACATTCATTGGGAGCTGACAATAGATTTTCAGTACATTTGGAGCTAGGAAAATGTCTAATTACTCAGATGACTAGGTACATTTCAGAAGTGCTTATTTGGAGGCTTTGTTTTGGCTTTGTTTGAATAGCATGAAATGCCTAACATTTTACCTCGAAAGGCTATTGAATACAAATGAGGGCACAGGACAGGCTTTAAAAATATCACTGAGATGATGCTGAATGTGTGAGATGCATGAGGAAAAGCATCCACGACTGAGCAGTGGAGATAAACTGCTTGGAAGAAAGTGCAGTGGCCAGAACCAACCCTTCTTCTTGGAGCTAGAACATCCTATTTCTCCTCCTTAGTCTTTGGGG